GCTGGTGGTTTCTGTCCCAGCGACGCCCACTTCCCAGCTGTCTGTGCACCCAACGGCTGCATCGCCTCCGGCTGTCTCCGCAGCACAGTCTCCGCCGGTTGCCGCTGCGGTGAGCCCTGAGTTCTGGGCAGCAGTGTTGGGGTCAGCCTGTGTAATGCGCCAGATGAGCCGTTTGCCTTGTCTGCCTGCTTTTGGGGGGGTCTCCTGCGCCCACAGAAAGTGAGCAGGAGGGTTCAGCGTGTCTTGCAGGAAGCGGGGCAAACTGCCATGTGGGTCTCCCCTTAAGAAGATGCCGTTGAAGACAGCCGCGTCCCCAGTGAATCCGCTGACGGAGATGAAGGGACAGGGGTCTGGAGCGCAAGGAGGAAGCAACAAGGCTTCTTCCTCATCTTTTTTGAGGGGGATATCGGGAGGTTCAAGAGTGAATTCGCCTTTACCCACGCAGGTAATGGCTAGCTGCCTCATGGACGAAAAGGGAGACAGCCGCATATCAGGGTCTGCGCAACTCGCTATGAGCGTTTGGCCTTCCGTCATCATAGAGGTTGCGGGCTCCAGCCGCAACCCTGGGGGAAGCTGGCCGAGGGCGCAGTCACCCCCGCAGTCTCCTAAGTCCATCTGACAGGCTTCGTTGTTGCAAGGCTCGTCGCAGTGTCTGTTTCCAAGGTCTCTTAGCTGACAACCAGGGGCGCACTCTGCGCAGACCCCACACGTCTTGGGGCAGGCGTCGCTGACGCGGACTTCGGGGGGCAGGTCCTCAGGAAAAGGTTGGTTGTTCTCCTCCGCCAGCTCCTGAAGACGTCGGTGGCAGCCCATCGCCAGCAGTACCTTGCACTCCACTCCAGTTAACAAAGGCACGTCGGGACTGTCTTCGCAGGGGACCCCCGGACAGCGGTGGAGGCCACAGCCGCGCCGCTGCTGCAGCTCCGGGCAGTCTGCTCCGTTCCCTGTGCTGGGCATCAGCACCTGGCGCTCTCGAGTGTGGACTCCGCCCCCGCACTCCTTGCTGCACGCACCCCATTCGCTCCACTCAGATACCTTGCAGTCCGAGCCGAAGCAGCTAATCTCGGCGCAGGGCTCAAAGTCTTCAAGCAAATCGCAAGGATCTCCGCCGTTTATAGGTGCTTCGACCACCTGAGCAGCACAACACAACACAGCTCAACACAGGCAAGAACAGCTACGCCACAGGTTTGCTGCTGGGACGCGATGGGCAGGAGGGGCGAGCACTCAGAAACACAGGCACACAGCACAGGCAGGACATGGATGTCATGGTAGAAGCCGCTTTCCGATGCGCGGCGCGCAGCACAGCCATTCAACGACAACTTCACAACTGACAAATCCGCTACATTGGCGTCTTTCATTTGGAAATGGATCCCTAGCATCTTGCTCGTATCCAGAGGAGGCAGCGGTGGAGCTGCTGCCGAGTCACGCAGCTCCGTACCTCTCTGTGTCTCTGCCTGTATCCACCCCCACAGGTGACGCTACAAGGACCCCATT